TCCAGCCTGTCCAGGTCATGCTGAATGGCAGCACAGCCTGCTAGTGTATCCACTACTCCTCCCAGTTTTGTGTCATCAGCAAACTTGCTGATTTCTTTTGTAGACTGGGGAAAAAAGGGTTTTAGGAAACTTGTCTACTACCAAGCAACAGCTCTATGGAAAATCACATACTTAACTGGTGCTCAGTAAATGGTGTTGTGAACAACAACAGCCCAAGAAAACAAGAAAGCACAAAAAGAAAGCACACCAATCTTTTGTGTTAATTTAACAGAGCTATAAGTAATAGGTGGTTCATTAGATCTTTGGAGAAAGTGCTCTTCCAGCCTCCCGAGCATAGCGCTTCTATTTTTAAACATGCATTTTCTGTACATACTGTCCTTCATGTTATACCTGGGTGTGTTACAGGCTCACGGGGTTGAATTGCACCGTGATTGCAGTTATGGCAAAATCTGCTCAAACAAGGAGACACTTGTGTGTTTGAGTGGAGCAACTTATTCTGGCCACTCTTGTGTCAAGACACAGTGGCATTGTCCCTGTGCAAAGGTTTTAAGTCAGTTGTTAGTGCAGGGATGAGAAATGAATATGGGGTTCAGGGTCAGCACTGATCTTCAATTTTTGTCCTGGTTTTACTTTCCTTTTGTAGAGTTTTGTTGCGCTCTCTTACATATACACTATTTCTTTTTTTTAAGTTCTTGCATTTTAAAAATTACTATGCTATTAGATGTTTTTTTAACATCTTTGGATTCAGTCGTACTTCTAACTTCTCTCTGCACACCCTTAAACCTACTGCTCTTTGATAACTGGGAAGTGGATTAATTTTCCAGATTCTAGTGTAACTCTTTCCTACTTTTTTTACCTTTGAGTTTAGGAAGCATCTTCTAAATGTGCACACAAGGGTGTTGAAAGCTTCTGTTCTGTCCAGTATTTGACAGTGTCAAACTGTGTTGCAAGGGGTGTTTATGCAGAACTGTGGCTGTACTTGACAGCTCGCTGTAGCCTGCTGGAAGACAGCAGGTGCTGCATGCACAGAGGGCAGGCAGTTGCCAGAGTTTCTTGGGAAAGCATTAATGCTTAAAATAATAATGAGAAACCATTGTAGCAAGTGAGGGAGCTGCTTTACTGGTGGGCAGGAGGTTAAAGCAATGGAAATGCCAGATGGACTTGGATGGGAACTCCAGGTGCACAGGGGAGCTGGGGAAATGGAATTCATCGCAAAACTCTGAACCTGGGCCTCTTTGAAAATCTTTCTGCCTGCAGATCTTACAGGCTGGAAAGTCCACTTGCTCTCCCTGGCAGGCTTGGTACATTTGAGCGGCTTAGGTAACCCTGTAGTCACGGAGATCAGCTGTAACTCTGACTTCTAAACAGCAGCAAGGGGTGGCTAAGAAGGATCACTCCAGTTGCAGGATGCAGCACTGTGTATTGGCTGACTGCACATCGTGGCAAGACCAGTGGTGTTGAGGGTGCCTAGAGAACACAGAAGGCTGGCTGTGCATTGCTGCAATTGCACACTCCAGTATTTGGGCCCTGACTTTTTCAGATGGTCTGTCTGAAAATCTTGATCCGAGGTTTAATTGTGATGCTGGTGTGCCTCTCAGAGGATCCTTTTGTCCTTGTGACTTTGGGACTGTGTATTGAGGCTTTGAGTTCTTGAGAGTGGGTTCGGTCATGTGCTGCTTTAACAGGACTCAGGCAAATATGGGCACTATTTTAGAGGCGGTTTCTGATTTTTAGATGCTATAATTTTGAGAGTTACAGTTCTAGACATTGCAGTGCCCAAGTGTGTGGTGGGTAAGGTCTACAGAGGACCTTTCCTTGCTGATTATTTTCTGGTAACCTCAAAGTCGTCTGTTCAAATTTAGGCATTTTTAAAAATGATACAGCTGCAGAATGATAATGTATTTATCTGAGAGATTTTGCATGGTAACTTCTGTGCCATTTGCTCTTGTATTCTGACATCTGATCTTGCCAGTTCCAGTCTGTAATTTCCAGCATGGACCAAATCTAGGCAGACAGCACTGCTTTCCTCTAAGCCTTTCGTGCTTCCTGCATCGGGCTCAAGCAAAGACATATTACAGCTTGACTGAACTGCTGCTTGTCAGCTTGGCCTCTGGATGGTTCTCTCTGTGTGTGCTTTGACTCTGGCACCTCTCCCTTGGTCGTTTCTGATTGCACTGCTAGGAAGGTCGTATCTGCTCAGGTTTCCACATTCACCTTAAGCCAGCAAAAAGCTCTACACATGTTTTCTCTGTGTTTTAAGAACTCCTAGGACTCTTGCAGCAGATGTGGTCAGTATTCCTTTCCTCTTGTACTCTTTGGGGCAGTTCCCAATGCTTCTCCAGACTAGGAGTCTGACTTTCTTTTATAAAAGTGGCCAGCTCTTTCCCATCCCTTGTTTCCTTTGTTGATGGCAGTAGGATAAGAACAAATGTGAACTCACCCAGAACTTTCCAGGCAAGGAAAACAAATTGGGCTGTGGTGTTGGAAGCAGATGGATTTCTCCACAAAGCTATGCTAGCACTGCCACTTCAACAGCTGGGCAGATTTAGCCTCTTCTTAGAGAGCACAGCTGTGCTGAGAGCACAAGGGATCACAGCAGGAGCTGGGTTGAGGCAAGAGATGCCTGAGTGGTCGGGAGGGCTGATGGGAAACATCTGCTTTTGAACCTGGTAGCTCTGAGGCAGCTGTCAGATGTCCTGTGAGCTCCCTTTCTCTGGAGTTGTCTTAAGACACAGCCTGGGAAAAAAGAGAAGAAATGGCAGCAGGCTATGAGGAAGGTGTGAGGTGTAGTTGTTGCTTTCCTGCATTCTTGCTTTTACAGCTACTTTAGGGGGTAGTGAGGATCCAGTGAGATCCCACAGGTAAGGGAAACCCGTATGTAACTGAGGTCACTTTGCACCTCAGACTTTTTCAGTAATTCTCGCATACTCCAGAGGCTGACTGCACAGGTGTCCTCAGTGTTCACTCCTTCTCTTGCTTTGACGTGCTCTGTGGTGGTGCTGGTCAACTTCTCACGCCTTGCTCTTTCTTTTGTTGCTGTCTGTATAATGCCACGGTCTGGATTTGGGAGTATTTCCCTGTCTGCTTTGCCCCACTGTCAATGACCCATGGCAAGGTAGAGGGGGTGGGTGAGGTTGAGTCTATACTTATCCTGGTGCAGGAGAGCAGTTGTATGGGGGGTGCATGTGTGTGTGTGTCTGAACCAACTTCGTTATAAGAATATCAGTGACCCTTTCTAATCTGGGTTCTTGACACAGCTGAAAGCAGCACATCTGAAGGCTCAGACTGGCAAAACTCAGCCCAGCTTCTGGTTTTAATCCTTTGTTGCCTAGTGAGTGAGATCTGCTGCTGGCAGGCCACCTCCACGGTGAGGAGATAAAGAAAAACATAAAATCTGTATTTGCAGGGACAGTTTAGACAGTATGTTTGGGCAGGCCAGAGGTCCCTTGTACCCACTTTGTGCTGGAGTTTTGGTTTGCAGTGTGGCAGGAAAAAGTGGTGAGCTGAACTGCTTCCAAACCAGTACAAAATAAATCAATTGTATCTATCTTCTATATCATACAGACTCCCTTCAGTTACATTTGTTGCGTAGACCCACTAGCCCCAGGCTTGTAAACTAATTGTTGCCCTCAGGGCCCTCTATAGTTGTTTGTATGAAATCAAAACACTAAAGCTGGTTCGGCTGGGAAGAGCAAATCACAGCTTGACGCATGTGAAGTTACTTGGTACCTTGGTGGTATTGTTGGGCAAACATGCCTGCAGGTCACTGGCTGGGGGTTTACTAAGTCAGAGGGCTGTGTGGTCTCCCTGTTAAAATTTGTTTCATGTGGTCACAGGGCTGGCATGTAGCCCATCTGCAAGATCATTTTTCTTTAATTAGAAGTGCCTGATGACTCCTTCTTACACTCTTTTTATTTGAGACAATAACTGATGGTCTTCTCCTTATGTTCACAGTCTGAAGGCACAAGGCTGCAGAAGGACCTCCGAACTTACTTGGCTTCTGTAAAAGGTAAGGTCTGTGCAAGCAGAGGGTTGTTTCCCCTGTAGTGCTTACCTTCATGGTGAGGTTTCTGCACCCATCCCCTTCCTGGTGTTTCATCAGGTGTGAGTTGTAGGAAAGGTCAGCCTTGTCTGGGTGGGGGGATCTTTCAGAATCCTTCAGGACCAGCTGGGATGGAATGGGGTTGTGCTTTGATGCCAGGCAGGTGGTGCTGTCTTAGTGATAGACTCTCACACTTTCTGCTAGAGGAGGACGAACACAAAAGTTCTGACGTGACTGCATCCTCTGTTCCTTTCTCCCCCTGGTTACTCTCCATCTTTGTTATCAAGGGTCAGACGTTCTGTAAGGAAGAACTTAGCATTTGTTATAACCCTCCTGTGTCTGCATTGCTCACAATGAAGGTTAAACTGTAAGGAAGACACTATTTCGTTCTTTCTGAAGCAGCTCCCTCTTCTTTCCTAGCCATGCACGAGGCCTCCAAGAAGCTGACAGAGTGTTTGCAGGAAGTTTATGAGCCAGATTGGCCTGGGAGAGATGATACAAATAAAATAGCAGAGGTAAGACTTTGTCCAAGATGTGGGGTCACCTGGCTTGGTCTGTCAGTGGAGATGAGCTTTGGAAGCTGTGTCAGTGCACCACGTTTCTACAGGCATAAGACTTTGCAGAAGAACTGGAGAGACAAACTCAGCATTGGGAAGAAGGGAAAGCAGAAGGGCTGTGGCCTGAATTTCATTTGCGACGCTGTCCCCAGATGCTTGAACGCTACACAGAGCTGTATGCTTATGCCAACAAGCAATTAGTTTCCCCAACAGTGGTCAAACAGGGGCAGAGGATGCCAAAAGAGAAGTCAGCACGGTCAACTGGATGTGTTGCTTATGCTCTGTGCAAGAGAAAGGGGAGGCTAAATCTGTGGCCAAAGCATGGTCAGGGCAGCCATTGTGTGGCTGCAACAACCTCCCACTCACAGCACTACCACCAGCTGTCGTATATTGGTTGCCACCAGTGATGGTGACACCATGAGTCACCCCAGTCTGCTGTTCTTCTCATCCCTTGGTGGGGCGATGCCTGTCCAACCTGCCCAGGTGTCTTCTGTGGAGCTTGGGGCACAGCCTGCCATTGGACAGCTTGGAACCCTCTTGGTGTGTGCATGCAGTGGGCCCACCTGGAGGCAGGTGCTCTCTGGCTCGGCCCTTCTGCTGTGGCAGTTCAGCTCTGTGGATCCATCTGCCACGAGGCTGCAGGACTGGGCCTATCTGCCGCTGTCTATGGCACTGGAGCGGTGGGGAAGGAGTAGAGAGGCGAGCAGGAGGGGAATTCTTCCCTTCCTCTGCTTTCCCGTGCAGAAAATCTCACCTGAAATAACATCTATATCTCGCCCAGGAAATACTGACTTCAAAGCAGATAAATCAAATGCATCCTGAACATTTCAAGGTCAATTCTTGCATTAACATGGAAACTTTCCATTAGGAAGTGCTGTTGCAGTAGATAATGGAGTTGTAATTCAACTGGTTTGGCTTCACCTTCTCTGTTGGACTTGTTTGTTCCGGAGCCACTGCGGTGTCTCCTGGGAGACTGTCCTGTCAGAAGGGTCAAAAGGAGCATGAGTCTTGAGAATTAACTGTAGCTACTCTGTGGGTCTGCAGGAATATTTCCAGCCCTCTACCCCACCTGCTTTAATGCCTTTGTTTATATTTCGCTCTTTCAGGAAAACACAGGCAGGAGAAAAGTGCTATTCCTGCCAAAAAAAAAAAAAATTCCCACATAAAGTGGGCGTTTTTCCTAAATATTTTATCCCAAACATTTTGTTCAAGTGGAAAAACACGGGGGGAGGGCAATTTTTGTCAAGGTGTTGATGAGAAGTTACTGTGTGTGAGATAATATCAAGGATAAAGTGTGCAGAGGTTAGGGTGCAAGCCTTGGATGTGACCTCCATTGGGCTGTGGAGGTGGGTGCTGTGAGGGCTGAAGACTGCTAGAATAGCTTTCGGTTATTGTTTGTTATCCTTCAGAAAGCTGTATTATGAAAAGCAGAAAATGGTGCCTGGCTGTGTCAGGTGCCTCATTTTTGTGGCTGCTGGGAGAGGGAGGTAAAGCCAGCTGGACCTTCATCTTCCCTGCCGTTGTATGGACTTGGGCTAGCACTGTGCGGGGAAGGACAGGCCCTCACAGGAAGGTTCACGAAGGGCGCTGTGTCCTTGGAGAGGTCACCTGAATGTAGCAGCATCAGGCTTTCCTCTGTTTCTGCGTTTCTGGTGTGACCTCTCTTTTTCGACTAATTTCTCTCCTCCTTGCTTTTTCCAGAGAAATGACTAGCTCTTAAAGAGCTCTGGGGGTCTGAAATTGTTGACTGTAGCACACATGGAGAAAAACAGAAACGCAGAGCACTGTGTTCTTAATAGTTAGCTCATTGCTTTTGTTTTTCAGAACAATGATCTCCTCTGGACGGATTTCCATCAGAAGCTGGTGGATCAGGCACTTCTGACCATGGATACGTACCTTGGCCAATTTCCAGATATTAAAGTAAGAATCTCTTTAAACCTTTTCATCTAGAGAGTCACAGAAGATGAAATCTCCTAAGAATCAGTTTCTTGCATCACCATCTTTAAGAGGATGCGTGTGCTGTGCTGTTGCAAGCTCTTCTTTTAGAGTAGCCAAGATCTTTGCAGCTCTGGGTCATGTGAAAATGTTATGTTCTTCTTTTTGGGCTTGAAATGAGAGTGAAGAATCCAGGTGAAAGACGTTGGAGAGAACGTAAGTGTGAAACAGGAGGGTCCATATAATGTGCTTCTGTATCGCAGTGCAGGAGGGCAGTGTCAGCAATAACTCACAAGCTCTCAGTCTCTTTTCAGTTCTTTAGGTTTTTTAACTTCCTTGTAAGTACAAAGTATTGAGCAAGTAGGTGGCGAATGTGCTTTGTAGGTAGAGGCTGGAACGGAAGGCAGATTTCTGTTCCCCAAGTTCCATGAAGTCCTCCTGTGCATATAACCAGCTTTTTGCAGAGCAGGGGAATGCTGGACAGGTGTCTTGTTTGGGGAAATAATACCCAAGGACCTAGGTTTGAATGATGTCCTTTCCCTCCCCGCCCCGTGTTATCTACTCTCTGTTCGTTTTGAGAAGGCTATGCAGGAAATGTCTTCACCATATGGAAGCGCTAGTAATGATATCACCATATGGGAAATATCAGCTTGGCTTCTTCCCAGTGAAAACAACCCTTTCCCCACCACATGTCTGTTAAAGCGTTTGTCAATATTTGTTGCTCCAGGAGGATCGTGCTGTGTGGAAGGGGGGCGGGTCACAGGCTTGTAGAATGAGCCCTGAACAGCAGTGTCCTTAACTTCTGGGGCTCCTTGGTTTTGCTTCATTTTTTCCAGCCTCTTCTGTCCCTGGAAGTCTGAAGTGGGGGAAGGCGGCAAGGCTTGCTGTTGCTTTCCACCCGCTCAAGGCTGCAGAGCTGATCACTCCCCATGGTGTGATGCCATGTGCCTCAGTTAGCAGTGCAGAGCCTCCTGCGTGGCTTCCTAAGCAGAAGGTTTTATTTCAGGCTTGCTGTAGGCTCAGACTTCTGCACTGCTTCAGTCCAAATAGCATTTCACTAGCTTGGTCGCTGTGCACTGGGTCACCTCAGTGTATCACGTTTCTTCCATGCATAGTATCTGTGGGATTTCTTAATTCTGCTGGGGTCCAACTGAGGTTTAATGGGATTTTAAAAGGAGCACGAGATTGGGACCAACCAAATTCTGCCAAAACTCAAGGTGCTAGGCACTGAGCTCCCATGGATCCTTTCTGTCTTCCAAATGGGCCACTGAGGTGTCTTATTACTAGTGTCCCTTTCTCAGTCTTTGGGTTGTGCTCTAGAAAATGGGAAATTAAAGCAATTTTGTGCACAGTTTAATGCTTTAAAGAGAGCACTGCTCACCTCCGATTCCCTTCCTGAAAGGCAAATACTCATTTTTGTTGGTTCCTACAATAAGATATGGATGTATTTCACAGAGTTAGCTATCTGTTTAAAATGGACTTTCAGTGGTATGAATTTAAAAGGGTCAATATGTTGTTACTGGTAGTTCAGCTGAATGTTTCATGCTCCTTACCCCAGAGCACTGAGAAGTGCTCTGATCAAGTCTGATTTCTTTGACTGGTAGATACTCTTACAAGTAATGTTGTTGAAGTTTACTATGGTTGTGCAAAAGTGTAGTTTGGCTTCACATAAGGAATTAGAGTTGCTGAGGATGGCAGGCAAAAAAACCTAGAGTCTTACGTAATTTACAGAATGTTTCGGTTGTTTTTGGTTGTTGTAGTAATAGTTTTCTGGTTTGTCTTATCCACAAAAGCAAATTTTCTGCTTTTCCTGGAATTCTGGCATTACTATGATAATGAAAAGATGATTTATGGAGGAAAAGATGGTTTTAATTTAGTTATATGAAGGCTTGTTTTTTTTTAAACGGCTCAGTAATTCAAGTGTGTGATGAGTTAGATAATGCATGCATTATTTTTTGTTAAATTCTAACGTATTCTGAAATATTTACATAAGTTAAAGGGAATAATTTTTAAATGTTGAGTGGGGAGAGGTGAATGAAGCCTCTCTGTCTTCTCTGACTTGAAAAACAAAAGTGTAAAAAGTACTTTATCCTTTCTTTGCAGTTCACTATCTATAGCTTCTTGGGGGGGGACTCTTGCATGATCTATAATATTTCTGAGTGAGTTTTCAGTTGGGGTTGCAGAGCGCGCAATAAAGAGTACAGGTCTCTGCAGTGAGCCCAGAGAAGCTAAACCATAACCCAAGTTCTGAATAGCTGTGGAATTGATAATGTTCTGTCTTGTACTGAAAACAGGTACCCTGTTTCTACTACATTTAAAACCAAATATCTATAAGAGGGGTGTGTGTGTGTTTGGTGGTGGTTTGGGGTTTTGCTTGTTTTTAAAGGAGGCTTAAGTTAAGGTGGATTTCTTGCAAAGTAATAAACTCTGGAGTTCAGCTTTTGCCATCAGATAGTGGTGGGTAGCTGCAGCTATCCTGGAGTCGTACAAGGAAGCAACCCTGCAGCCTTCCAGGGCTGGGCTAAGTCCCATTACTGCTGTCACAGGCAGTTGTGTGATCGGTGGTTTCTCCAGGAGGTCTCTCATTGTATTTGTACAATGCAGCATTTCCATGTGCTCTAGAAGAAACGTGTGTGTATGCAGAAAATTGGGGGCTGCAAAAAAGGGCAGGAGTGACCTTGCTGAGAGATGGGGGACACTGAATCAAACTCTGACATCCTGCCTCCATGCCTGGCTGGCAGCGTGATGTTGGGGAGGTGTCTTCTGGTGACCCCAACAGTAAGGTGGCTCTGCTTCTTCGTGATTCCTCTCCTGGAGTGAGCTGAGCACTTTGAGATCAGCTTGAGTGTGCGTGTGGCTGAGATCCTGCAGATCCGCTGTGACTCACACAAGCTGCACCAGTGTTTGCTGGAAGCGCAGAGGAGCATGTGTAGGAGATGTGTGAATTGGTCCCAGCTGGTCTGGCAGAAACATCAGCCCTGAGTGTGGTTTTGCAACTTATCTGCAGGAGTCTGGGGAGAGGAGACCACATCTCCCTGCCAAGTGCAGTGGAGGGGGGATTTTGCTTTTGCAAGTAAATCCTAGTGCTGATTCTTTATCTTGCACTTTCGATTTCCCCAGGTGCTGTGGTGAATTAGAAACCCTCCTGGCTCCTTGCCGTGCCTTGTCACTCCAGTTCTCCAGCCTGTCTCTAGACTGATGATCACTGGTGCTGGACTGGGCTCGCCAAGCTGGGGTGGTGCTAGGTCAGCCTGGGAAGACCTGTGCTCCAACTCAGATAGCCTGGGGTGTTTGCAGAGAGCATGGGGGTGAGGGTCTAAGGGGATGGTTGGATGGTTCCTAATCCCATGGGGCTGAGCCTTGCCAAGGTGAATCTCTCCTGGGGGAGAGAGCCTGAGGCACCTCGGATGAAGAGGAAGAATAGAGGATCAGGCCACAGGCTGGACTCAGTCTATTCTGGATTCTCACCCATGGACCTGTCGGGACTCTGTCCCTGAACACAAGTCTGGTACACAGTTGGATCCTTCCTCATGTTTGTTACAGCTTCAGTATGTCTTGCCTGTTAGTGACATGGTGCTACAGGTTTTCACTCGCACTTCTCTTGCTTAATAGCTGTTTACAATAGACTGTGGCTACAGTCACCTCTGCCTGCATCTCCTGTTGCAGGGTCCAAAATGCTGTCCTAGGCGTATCCTGAGCATGTGGATGGCTGTTTTTGCTGTGCTGGCAACAGAAATGCCTTCTTTTGTTGAACTTAATCTTCTGAGCTTCCACACAAACTAGGTCTGTGAGCTGGTTAGAGTCTGGCTGCAGCCCTCTGGGGGCCCTGAAGATGATGAAACAGGTGCCTGTAGGATGCAGGCACATGTGGAGGCGTAGGAAGCACCAGGGCTATGGTTCTGGAAACATTAATGTCATCCAGCGGTGGGGCCTGTTGTTGGTTGGATCCCTTTGCTTTCCCTGGCTGGGTCTGCACCCCTCATGAGGAGCTCCCTCGAGAACGGTGGTTGTCACTAGTTCCTCCCAGGGCCACCTCTCTGGGCAGCCTGTGTGGAGCATCCAGCAGGTGTCCATGTGTGGGCAGAGCATGGGGTGCTCTGGAAGCTGGGTGAAGAGGAGTAGGGGTGTGCTTGAGAGGCTTTGGTGTTTTGGCTGCTGGGGAAGATAGTAACATCTCTTTTCTCTATCTTTCTTAGTCTCGTATAGCGAAGCGAGGAAGGAAGCTTGTGGATTACGACAGTGCCAGACACCATTTTGAAGCCCTGCAAACTGCAAAGAAGAAGGACGAAACCAAAATCGCAAAGGTAAAGCAAGCAGAGGGATGTGCAGCCGTCCTTTCATGATGTCTGCATTTGCCTACTGAGCAGTTTTTGGGTGTGCCTCTACTTCTTCATTGGGTATGTTTGGTGTGTTTTATTTTGTGTGGTGGTTTTTTTTCCAAAGAGGTGTTGTGAGCTGGTGAAGATTGGCTAGGTGTTTCCTTCGTATTTGTTTAGTTCTAGAAAACAGGATGGTCTCTGTGTTGGTTCAGACTCACCATCATTAGTGAGCATCTCTTGGTGGCCAAGGCCTGAGCATGCATTTCCTCAGACACTGCAGGACCAGTAACCCCTGTGAGGAATGCCACTGTGCTTCTGGGGGGAGCAAAGCCCTGCAAGTGCCACAGCAAAATCTGCCAGTTTGTCTGCTTCCTGGGACTCTGTCTCCCATCTTATAGCAGTGGTGAGAGTAAGTGTTTGAGTGTTGCTTGAGTTTGGTTGTGTTTGTGAAGTCCTCTGATATTTGAAGACAGAGACCCTTAGACATGTGAATTACAAGTTCATTAGTGGATATGCACCTCATACACACATGATGACTGTGTTCTGTTGTCTGTTGGTCACAATTACTGGACAATAAATATGGCTGACATCAGGAAAACAAGAGTTTTCTCTTGTCAGGGTCTGGTTTCTTTCACGTCTGTGAAAAGTTTGATCTGGGATTAACTCCAGAGCATGCCCAACACGCAAGTGCAGGATTTTTTTTTAATTAAAATGAACATCATTAAAAATGAAACTTAGATTTTCTTTTAAATGAAGCTGAAGAAATGTGATAGTGCTAACCTTGCTCTAGAGGAGGCTCATGGTTCGAACACCTGCCCAGAAAATAAGCTGTGGATTACTCCCGTACCCTGAGTGGGTTTGAACCCCCGTGCTTCAGTCCATAGGACATGACTTGGTACAACAGAATAGTCTATGGCTGGGGAGACATCTTTAATTCTCTTGAATGCTGGTCATGGCACATCAGGACTCTTCAGGCTAGAAGCAGTGCAGGAAAGAAAGAGCCTGGATCTGTATCTCTTTTCCAGGCTGAGAAGAGTTGTCATCCTTTGCTTAGAGTTGTCTCTGGTAGGGGGAAATACAGGCTATGTGAGAGATGCTAGTGTCTCCTGCATGGAAGAAATTTAAGATACATCTCTCCTCTGGGTGAAAGATCTGCATTTAATGGCCAACTGACAGTACTTCTATTTTTAAGCTGCAAGTCATCAGTCATCTGCTCGCCCAGTGCATGCACTATGATTAACCTTGACAGACAAGGGAGAGATCGATGGCTCAGGTGTCGCTGCATGGCAAGGCAAGTCTCGGTTCTGTATGCAAGGCATGAGGCCCCGCTGGTCATGCCTTCTGTTCAAAACAGTGCTTCTCTGTGTTTGGAGGTAAGAGCAGAATATCCCTGGGGCATGGTATGATTATTGGTGTGTGCCTGTGGGATCTTTGCTGCAGTGGAAGTGGTTTTTCATCTACTTGGGTTGGTACCTGGTGATCTGCACCAAAGAGGCTGCCCTTCTTTGTCATTGCTGCACGTGCTTGTGTTGCCCCAAATACTCATGTAAGACATAGTTAAGAAGGGATAGTTTCTTGCTCTTTTGTTACAAATATGAAGAACAGTACAGTTTGAAGAGTGAAACGTTGAGATTTAGGAGTTGGTGCACTGTTCCTGATTCAGCCTGTGCAAGTCTCTCTTGATTGGACTCTTCTCGTTAGCCAAAATGTGCACTGGATCAGATCTTTCCACCCTCTGTGCTTCAGGCCATAAGCTCATGCACGGGATAATACTGGACACACCGCGCTGTCCTGATCCTGTTAAGATGGGTGCAGTGAGTCCCCGAAAGTTCTGTGCGCATGTCCTTGGCAGACGGGCAGGTTTCGCAGCCCAGCCGTCTCACATCTCTGCAGGGCTGTGGGCAGCAGCCTGGGCTCAGCGTGCAGTAGGCTGGTGTAGGGCGTTCATCTTGCCGTTCCTGTGACTGTAGCTTTACTCATGTGACCTTTGAAGTAGGGTTGTTCTAGTGTAAGGTACTTTGGAATATGATGTCAGGCCCCTAGGAAAGAGAAATCTTGTTTATGACACAGCAAATGGGAACTGACTGGAGTTGAAGTTTCACAGTGTAGTAGCACGAACAGTGATGTGAATACTTTTTGGAGCTGTGTGGTCTCTTCTTTTTTTTCTTCTCTAACATATGGATGTTCTCTTCACGCTCAGGACTCCTCCACTTATTGCAAAACTCACAACCTGCCATTAAAATAAAGCACGGTGGACTTTCAGCTGTTGCATGCAAATAATTATGGTGGTTAATTAATCCTGACCTCTCTTTAAGGAGCTCTCGCTTCACAGCCATGACTTGGAGTAGGGTTGTCTGTGTGCTGGGTCACTAACAACTATATCTGTTGCTCTTTACAGCTGCCTGGCTGGTCTGCAGTATCCCAGCCCACACTGGAGCGTTAATTACTGCTAAACTTGGCATGCTTCAAAGGATTCATAACTGATCCGTCCCGAGATGTTTGTTTTTTCTCTCACCTTGGTGATACTGGTTTGGTCCAGCTTCTAAATACACTGTCTGTTGTAATTTTATTTTTTTTTGTCCTAGAAGATATATGTTTGTGTCTCTCTTGTTCTTTCTTTTTTTTCTTTTTTTCACTCAAACATGCTCCCTCCCCCCAGCCTGTTTCGCTGCTTGAGAAAGCCGCGCCTCAGTGGTGTCAAGGGAAGCTACAAGCTCACCTCGTTGCGCAAACTAATCTGCTCCGAAATCAGGTGACTGCTGATCTACCTGGCTCTAACCCTGCATGCGCTATTTTGGGCTCTGGATTGTACCATGCAACTAATGTCGAGGCAACGTTCACTCTAGTCCCCTCTGCTAAGTGTCCTTGATGTTCGTGAGCTACGATGGACACATGAAAATTGCTGACCCATGAATGAATCTGCGCCTGCCCTATTGGTTTCTAATCAGGTCTGTTAATACTGGGCTATTGCTTTCTCCCCCTAAAATGAAATGTGGTTAAAGAAAGGCTATGGAATAAGGCCAAGGCAGAGGATGGTGTAGTGTATTTTCTTCAGTTATTCCTTTCTTTTTCTTCTAAGAGAAGCAGTCAATTTTTATTGTTGCTGTTTCAAAAAATAAAAAAAGAGGAAACATTGAAAAAAATTGGCTTCTGCATTTCTGCTGTTGAGGAAAGCCAGAAAAAACCACATCACTTCAGAAGCAATTTCTGTGGCTAATGAGTTAAGCTGCAACATTCTCCCATGATAAAATCCAAGTTTCCAGAATGGGCACTATCCTGGCTCTTGTGGTCTAAGTGAGCTGTTTCCAGGTGTACAGACAGGTTCAGTCTGCACAGGAGAAGAGGTGGGCCCAGACCAGGGAACTTGCACCCAGTGTAATGTATTTGAACAGCTCCAGGTTGAGGTCATGGTTGCGTCATGTGGCAGAACTTGGCTGAACATTTAGGTTGCAGCATCTTGAGGGACATGAGAGCAGCTCAGAGAAACTGCAGAGACTAAGAATTTCAGTCCTGCTTGCACAGGAGAAGTATGACTTCCTGATGAAATCTCCCATGGTACTTACCTTGGAGCTCCTTAAGGGATAAGAGGGAGGTGACAGAAAACAGTCAGTGAGAACAAAATGCTTTCAGTGGGCAAGGGATAGTAAATCATTACCCGGACTGGGAGAGGGCCAGTCACTGGCTCACCAGTTCCTGGTGAGCTCATCTGTACGCATTCAAACCCTCCTCCACATTTTCACATTCCTTGTCAGTGAATGAATTGCAGTTGAGAAACACTAAATTGCTCTTGCCTTATAAAGCACCTGGGCTTTCCACACTCAGGTTACGGCTGTGGATCAGGGAAAAGCCTAGATCACAGTGTCAGTAAAGCCTGGGGAGAGAACAGCTGTTAGCAGTGCTGCTGCAGATGCGTAGTAAAGGGAGTGAACATAAATATGTGTTTATTCTGGAGAGTAGGGAGAGGGACATTTGGCTGGCTGCCGGGGGCTTTCCCTGTGCCTCTGTGGGCTGGGAACCACCTCCATGGCTGTGGGCCTTGACTGGTCTGGCTGGCTGGGGGGATTTGGGGGGGGCCAGAAAGCAGGGACGAGATGTTTTTCAAGCCATAAATAAATAAATCAGCTCTCAGGCATTTTTCTTCTCAGACAGGCTGGGTGACTGGGAGTAACACCACTGCCTGCAGACTGCTGAGGGAAACAGTACCTATGAGTGCTCCCTCGTCCACTGCACTCTGATCTTAGGCAGTCTGCCCAGGGTCGAGCGATCATTCTGCTGTACTGGGTGGCTTTGCCCTAAAGCAGCAGGTGACAAGGGTGTATATGTAATCTCTCCACTCGCTGTGTCCTGGGGGTGTTAACCTCCTGTAAGTGACCTTAGTATTTTCAGTCACCCCAGATGTTTTCAAATCAAGCTAAGTCTTCCTTGAAGATTTTCCTCAACCATTCCTGAACTAAATAATATTATTGCTAACCTTAATTTTTTGTTTCTACTTATGCAAGTCTTTGGGCTTTTTAAAATTTTTATTTTGATAGGGGACTAATGAAAAAAAACACCTCAAGATTAGTTTGTATTCTGAACCAGTAGGTTTTCCAGCTTTTCACAAACACGAGCAGGCAGGACAAAAGTTTTTCTGTTTACATAACTTCAAGGCTGAAGGTGCTACTGACAACCCTAATCTCATTAAGCTCTTGATAAAAGCAAGAAGGATGATGACACTGCATTTATTGAAGAGCTTCAGAATGTTAAGCCTAACAAAAAAAAAGTTCCTTCACTTTACCAGCAGCTGTGTTGCTGTCTCTTCTTGCCTGATATTTTTACAACCTCCAGGCAAAAATGGGGTCAGCAAAACCTATTATTTCTACTGTAAAACCAAATCCCTCCCTCCAGTGTGCAAACTGCTGGCTTTTTAGGCCTTTAGCAGACACTAACAGAAAAAATACGGTGTGGGGGGTTCTGTGTAGTCTCCTGGGGCGTTTGCTATTACACACTCTCAGTTACAAATTTTGGTGACTGCCCTTTTGGCAACAAATGGGAAGATGGCTTAGAACAACAAATTCTTGCCTTTTTCATCAGCTCCCCTGAAAAGCCGAATGCAGACTAAAAAGCACCATCCTTGGCGCTGCAGGGATAACAGAGCGATATCTCTGTCTGTAGGAGAAAGCCAGCGAGTGGAGTCCAGGGCCGTGCTGCTCTTCAGAGGGGCTGGGGCTTGAGCTGGGTGGGCTGCCTAGCTCAGTTCCTCACCCCTGCCTCAGGGATGTTGAAACCATTTACTGAGCAGTGTGTAGCTACCACAGTTCACAGCATAGTGCTTGAAGAGAAGTGGTCACCAGATTGCCCAAAAGCACCAGGCTGGATGTTGCCAGATGTTTGTGAGTGCTGGGGTGTGTGATGGTAGGAAACGTCATGGGGAATAACTGCTCCCCTCCCACAGCTGAGCTGGTTGTGCCTGGCACTCGGAGCCTTGGCTGGGGGGAAGGTTGGGAAGGCATCTGTGTTGTCTAGCTCCTTGCTCAAATCTTCCCCCTTTCAGGCAGGGAGAGGAGAGGAATAATTATCTGTGATCACATTTCATGGACCTAGGCATTATGTCCTCTGTCAGGTTGGCAAGGATGATTGCTTAAGTAGAAAGTGCATGGATATGGTAGCAGTGGGCTCTGCCCTGAAACCTGTGTCTTCCCCCTTTTCTGCACTGTACTACCTGAGCCGGCTTTTCTTGTAGCAGGGCTCAAGACCAAGTTGATGTCTGCCTTCGGCTCCGGCTGGAAGCAGTCAGGGCTACTCAGTGTCAGGAGCCCTGCTTCCAAGCCAAATAAATCTGACTGGTGAGAAGATCCCTGGGCTGTCAAAGGACTGAAGAATTAATTCAATGCTGTACCTGGGACTGAGAGCCCTGGCTGAGCCACAGGCACTGGATGTATCCCTGATGCCTACAGCTACTCTAGAGTGAACGTTGCCTGTTGCTGAGGTTGCCTTTGCCTCGGGATGTCACAATATTCATATGTTGCTTTTTAGGTTCTTTGACCTTCTGAACAGGTAAACGAGAGAGGGAAAGACTGTTGTTTAATATTCACTGTATCTGAAAAACTAACAGCATTCAGTGGTGCCTCATCTCCCAGCTATCCCATCGCTTGGGTTGTCTCTGCTTCCAGTCTAGTTTGGAAATTAGAATAAGCTAAAGCCAAAGGATGGACTGGGATTTTTTTTTCTCCCCTTAAAATGGTTACATTAGAAACATTCATTCACAGAGGGATTCTAAGGCAGAGTGAGTCTTTAACCATTGTCTGTGATTCAGCATAAACTCTGCCTCTTATTTAAATGGGCTTTTTGTTTGTTTTGTACTAACTCTCTCGAAATGTTGGGTTTTTCAGTGAGTGTAGCAGCAAAATACAAGGGTTTCTGGGTGGAAGCATCATGGCCCCTTCTTCCCCTGCCTGTTCCTTACAAGGTCTGCTTAACTTTTTGAATACCTCCCAGGTGTGTCTTTGAGGGAAACTTTCTCTCCTGATCTTGAGTACAAAATCTTGGCCTTGCCTTTGGCAGCTGTGAGCAACCCTCTGAAAGGTGGAGCTAGCTGGAAAATAGGAGCTTCTGTGGCTAGCTCAAAAGTCAGGAGAGAAATGGAGAGTGTAAGAATTCTACACAACACTGAGGAACAGGACTCTGAACCGAAAAATATTTTAAGTCCTTTCTCCCATCAATCCTGTCTTTGCATATACCTATCACTATGGAGCAGTAGGCTGGATTTCTTTAATCTGGCACAAAGAAGATAAAAACTTCATGTCGTACAAGGGTTGGGAATCTGACTACAGGCTCATAGAGAGATCCAGTTCCCCAGTGAATTGCAGCATCTTGGCAGAGCACTGTGGTGGTGTGGCA